CCTGCCCGTGTGGCTCTGTGCCATCATATATGAGGTCTTTGCTTAGGTCAGGATGTGGGCATGTATGTTCACGGGAGCACCGCGTCTGAGGACTGGCACGACGGAGGCTCTGTGAATGGCGCGACCTGGGGTCCACTGTGTCCAAGTGTTTAGGATTCTGGGGCACATGCCAGGAGCCCTGGTGGCATGGTGGTTACTCGTTGGGCTGCTCACAGCAGCTTGAAATCACCAGCAACTCCTCGGGGGAAAGACAGGGCTTCCTACTCCCACAAAGAGTTTGGTTTCTTTGTGCCAGGAAACTGGGCACATGTCCACCCTCTCTCTTTCCTCCCCAACGAGAGCCAGAGTTAGGGAAAGTCAAAACAACTCACTGCCAACGAGTCGATGCCCACCATTGCAACCCTGTAGGGCAGGGCAGAACTGCCCCATGGGTTTCTGAGGGAGTAGAAAGCCTGGTGGTTTTGAACCACTCACCTTGCAGTTAGCAGCCCAAAGTGTAACCACTACACCACCAGGGCTCCTTTAGCGTTAGGAAAGCTCTGAAGAAATGCTTCTGAACCAAATGTTAACTCGTAACATCGCTAGTATCCTTACCTTAGACTTGAAACCCTGTGCTTCACATTGCATCCCTAAATATCCAGAACGGACGGCTCCTTTTGATATTACTTACACCTGACGCAGATGCCTCACTATGACAACACCCCTTCCCGCCTCTGCTTAAATGTTGTTTAATGCTCAAGTCTCATCTAATTACGTTCTTTATTAAAAGCAGGTACTTAGAAAATAGCTTTTTAAAAGTAGAATACCATGTCTTTAAGTAAAATTGTCTCTTTCCCCCAAACGAGTGTGCATCAACACAAAGAATGGTCTAATCTGGCATCTGTTTATTTCTGGAAGGAACCTTGATTTTGCTAATACATTTCTATGCATTAGAGGAAGAGAAGTGGGGGGAAAGCCATCCATAAAAAGACAATTACAGAGAGGCAATCAAGCATTGATAGCAGTATTCAGACGCATCTCAAAGAATGTTCGGGAGAGGAAGGATTGCAGGTTTAGCTTGATGTAGTATCTTATAAATCACTTTTTAAAGTACTTTTCTCACATCCAATGAAGTAAATTTGATTTCTGTAGCCAGTATTCATGTTCCAGAAAACAATATGCACTTTGTTCTATAATTACACAATGCCTAGTTTTTTAGCCAGAGACATGGTTTTATTTATTACCAAGTCCGGTTCTCCCCAGAGCCGAAGTCACAGGCTGATAAGGAATTAGGAACCTAAAGAAGAGCCAGCCTGCAGCCCCAAGGGTCCTTGAAGTGCTCATGCGGGTCTCTCAGCACCTAAGTGATTACCCAGAGTGATGCCTCTGCTACCTGGGAGGGACCCGAGACCTGCACTGGGCAGGAGAGAGCGGCAGATCTCGGAGAGGTGCGATGACTCTCTGAGGGGCGCACTTTGTCTGAGAGGAAATGCCCGGGCCAGTCCATCCTCCGCCTGCCGCTCAGGCTGAGCCTTCTCTTTAGCCCTGGCCGGAGGAACACCAATGGGCCTGCCGAGAGACTACACTGTGGAGGAGGCAGGCAGGTTGGGGAGGCAGGAGAGGATCTGAGGCCTTTCCCATCCGGCACCGCATTTTGACCCCCGGTGGCTGGGCGGTATTTGGGAGGATGGGAAGGTGGGAAGCCAGCACCTTGCTGGCTGAGCCCAAAGACGCAGAAGTCGAACGGAGTCCCTAGAGGAAGCTCGCCCTGTGCCTTGAACCGTCCATCCAGAAAGGGTCCTGAGAGCCTGCTCTGTGCTCTAAGCCCCGGTTGACAGACTGGTTGGGCGTTGGGCT